CCCAGCTGCCGCAGTCGGGGCTTCGCCCCCAAAGTCCTTCCCCTTGTAGGACTTCGGAGGGGGGCCCCCCCAAAGCAAGCCTGCCCATCAGCCAGCACCATCTACGGCGGATGCCCGCACCCCTCGCAGCCTGGGCACCCCAGCGGGGGGGGGATTTCCTTTCAGCCTCCCCACCTCCCGGGCAGCCTCCTCGTTCCTCCTCCGACCCGGTCCCTTTTGGCAAAGGGAGAGCAGGCTTTTGCGCCTTTTTTTTTTTACCTCGGCTCCTTGAGCGGCCCGAAAAGACGGATTTGATGGGATGCCTCCCTTTCTGGAGCTTGCGGTGCCAGCAGCAGAAGAAGACGATCGTGGCAATCGTCCCCAGCAGCAGCAGGAGGAGGAAGAGGGCACACTGGATGCTGTAAGGGCGCAGCAGAACGAGGAAAGCGGCGGCGATCATGGCTCAAGCGGAGATTTGTGTGAGAGAGAGAGAGAGAGGGGTGCCTGGGAATGCGTGTGAGTGTGTCTGTGACACGGGTGTCTCTTCCGGGCCGCCGAAGCGGGCTTGGGAGCTGGGGGTGAGCAAGAAGGGATGCTGTGGAGTGAGAGCCTGCAGGAGGGCAGGCGGCTGCCTCCCGAGAAGGCGGCGGCAGCGGCGGCTTGCCTATGAGGGCGGCTGGAAGAGGAGGAGGAGGAGGAGGAGCATGATCCGTCCTTGGTCCTGGTGGCCCGAGGGTAAGGATTCCCAATGGCTGCAGCAGGCACGGTCTGGAGACGTGTCAGTGATTTCCGCGGTGTGTGTGTGTGGGCGCGCGTGTACGTCTGCGCGTGTGAGAGCGAGGCAGACCCTCAATCCATGACTCAGCAGACGGGAAGGCGGCAACTCGCCCTGAAAGCAGGGATTTCTCCCCCTCTGGCGGTTCCCCCCCCCTTCCTTTGCACGCGCAATGAGAGAGAGAGAGAGAGATTGGAGGGACGGACGGACCGAGCGAGGGCGGAAGGATCAGCAGCCGCTAAGCTGCCGTCCTGCCCGGAGACAGGGAGGAGAGGGCACCCCGCCGGCGCTGGTGCTGCAGGGCAGAAACCCGGTCTTGCCGCCGCCGCCGCTGCTGCTGCTACTGCGCGCCTCCAACTCTGGCATGCCAGCGATGCCCTGCAGCCAGAATGGGGCGACTACAGTACGGAGGAGGCGATGGCTGCTGCTGCCAATCAGGAAAGCGAGGTGGATGGAGAAGGGCGGGGAAAAAAAGAAGAGGGGGGTGGTATGTGGACTCGCTAAGTTTCCGGCGGGCGCTGCTGCTCCTCGGCTGCTGCCGGCTCAGGCGGGAAGGGGCTGGTGGGGCTTTTGGGGAGGGGGGGGCGCCTCCCCGGTGCTTGATGACATCATGATCTGCAGAGTGGAAAAAAAATGGCTGTGTGCAGGTGCGAGCGAGCGGCGATCAGGAAGCCAAGGGAAGCTGCCCTCTTGCGCAGGACGGAGGATCGGGGCCCGGTGCGGAGCAGGAGGAGGCAGCGGCAGGAACAGCATCGCCGCCAAGCCCAGCCCGGCCGGTCTTCTCGGTAGCGGCCGCTGAGGCTGAGGGAGGCGCCGGGCGTGTCATCGTGCTCACCACCGCCATCCGCCGCCTTCCCAAAGTGCGCTTCCCTTCCTCGCGGATTAAGGATCCGGCCTCCCCTCCAGCCGATCTTGCAGCTTCGGTGGAGGAGGCGGCGGCAAAGAGAAGCGGAAACTGGCGCGGCGCCCCTTTCCTTGCTTCTCTCTCTCCCCCCCCCTTCCTCCGCTTCCCCTCCTGGTGTGTGTCGTGATTTGGGGAAGGGACGTCACACTTGCCTCCCCGCAAGCCCCCCCTCCCTCCGCGCTCCGGGGGGGGGAGGCTTGCACGTGTCGAGAAGAGAGCCCTCCTCCTTGCTCAGGAGAGATCAAGTGCTCCGGGAGATGGGGCTGGTTTACATTGCAATCTTGCTGTGCTCTTTTGCCGGAGAGTAAGCCCCCTTTGGGTCCATGGAACCCATCTCTGAGTAAACACGCGTGAGAGGAGTTCAAATAAAAAAAAAAAACACGAAAGGGCCACGTCAACTTGTTTGCAATCACTACACTCTAGTTCATGTTTACTCGGAAGTAAACCTGACTGCGATCATTGCCACTTCGGTGCAGTTGTGGGTAAGGTTATACAGTATACCGTTGGCCCCAGAATCGGTGTGAACTGACGTCAAGCAGAAGAGACTAGTCCAAGCGGTTGCCTACATTTTTGTCCTTGTGATCATACTTGCCACCACCAGGATTTGGCCTCCAGGCTTAATGTGCCAAAGCAAAAGCAGGGCATCGCCAGCTTTTATGTAGGACAGATGATGGTACGCGATGCCCAGGATGCTTGGTAGCCTCCCTTGTTTCTTTTCCTCCCACTTTGCATCAGCCCGTTATTGAAGGCAAAAGAGATGCTCCCAAACGCCCCACATGGAATATGCTGTAGAATTTTCATATAATTTTCAGTTATGCATAGGAAGTATATGTTTTATATTTAACCACTGATAATTACAAGGAGGTTTATGAGTGCTGTCTGATGCTTCAGTGACATCAGACATCTTGCACAGGAACCTAGTCTAACATTGTCATCCTCCAGTAAACTGGAGCTTGCTGTGTTCCAGAAGCTGCCACTGCAACCACTGTAGAAGCTGAATGGATTGAGTGTGATAAAATATATATGACACACTTAAGCTTTCCTGATACAGTATTTTTACTGACTTCATAGTCACATGTCCACAGAACAATATTTTTAACTCTTTAGTAATCATCAAGCCTACTGAATGGTGTTAATCCAAGAGTAATCAGTTTCATTTTTATCAGATTGGCAAAGACCAAATGCGTGTGTGTCAGTGCTAAACACACATTTGCAACACAATTCAATTCAGTCACACACATTCTTTGTTTCTGTCCTGAGTTCAAAGATATTCGTGCTTGTATCTTAGGCCCAATCATTTCAGACTTTCCCGCCCTCCCCAGCTTCTCACAGGTTTCCTCCTTGATGATTACTCACAAGAAACGAGGGCCCTAGTAGCCAGAGTTTCTTGCAAAGGTTCTTTCCGCCCAGGTCTTTAAAAATTAACCAGACTTTCCCAAGTACCCCCTGTTGTGTCTCTTGTTACATTTCTAGTCGTGTAACTATGTTTATCTCTATTTATTATTATTATTATTAAC